TTGGTGCCAGGGCAGAAAGTACCAAGGACAGCAACCAGCTGGATTCCACCTTTATTTAGCCTCTGGGCACCAATCGCCTCTTTCTGGGGCATTTGCCAGGGCCAGGAGTGGGGCTGAGACCGCTGCTCCCATTGTCCTGCCCCAAGGAAGCCCCCCCCCGACTGCAACACTCCCGGACTTCCAAAGCACGTGTAGCAGCCCTATCAGACCCTAAGGGGTCCGGGTTCTCACCCCTTAGAATAAACACGGACTCCCTTTCCTGCCTGGGCTGGTTCTTTGGAGGAATTGGGCATTTTTTTAAAAAAAAAAATTATGGCTGGCATTTCCTTGCTGCTCTACTCCAGAAAGTGCCTGCGGAAGGGCATATATGCATGTGCACTTCCTCTGTGTAACAGAAAACCTTCAGAATCTGCTTGGCTTCCTCCATTTTTCATCATAAGAGGAAGCTGCCGGAGGATTTGGGACCCTCTGATGTTTCCTCCAGTTGCTGCAGAGATCCCTTACGTTTACAAATAAATACTGTACTTTGTGTAGTTTTCATCTTCTGCATGGCATTTCTGAGGATCTTTTTTTAAAAAACGCAGTACATATGTTAGTTTTCTCTTTGTGCAGATCCAAATAAAAAAGTTAAAACAAACCTGCAAACTTATTTTGCTGTTGCTTATATATTAGTGCCTGGCATAGATCAAATAAATTTGGGTATGGCGGAGTCTGGTCAAGGGATGCTGATAAAGTTAAAATCCAAAATTCTGGCCGCAAGAGAGCTGTTCCCTCAAGAAGGAAGCGAGGGCCAAGTTAAGGATCTGTGTTTAATTAACTGGATCGCTTACTTTCAAAAATGAGTTTTTCAGGGAATTAAGAGGGCTGTTCTCCAAGAAAGTCATCTCGGATGATCTTTGTAAAGTTGTTAATCAAGTTGTCAGTATTTTTGCACTGAACTTTGGGGAGGGGGCCGAGGTGGGCTAAGCCTAGCAGGCTCCCCCTCAGCTGCTCATTCCTGGGAAAACTGTTCCTGGAGCTTTGCTTTTTGTATTTTCAATGCAAGGCGGGGTTTTCCTTCTGGGGAAAGGTGGAAAGAAAGAGGCCCCAGTGAAAGTCCTCAATCTTCCACTCCTCTGACCTCGGGGGGGCTTCTCCCCACAGTGAGCATCAACACGGGAGGGTCATGTGTGTCCCAGGCAACCGTCCAGAAACAACCGTGGACAGCATGCTCTTGGCTCCAGAGAGCCGATCTCTTTGTCCTTCCAGAAATGCTGGGGGGGGGGGGGTAGTTGAATGTCCACAGTCCTGCCCCACCCAAATGGGCTTATGGCTTAACGTATGTTGCAAGGCGGATTGCCAGAAATGGATTTATTTCCAGTGTTCCTTTGTTTCTGTCGTGTTGCAGCCCATTCCTCTGTTTATCCAGCCAGCCACACTCCCACCTGGTTTATGGCCCCTTAATTCCGGAGCAATCTGGGACACCCCCCCCCTCTGAAACATGGGCCAGGCTCTGGCCCAGATGTGCTATGAAGGCACTCTTGCATCACACTAAGCCACAAACCCACATATGAAGCCAAGGCCAAACTCAGAACATCTGGGATCACATTCTAGTTAGAGTAATCTCTTTCGCAGACAAACCCCAAGATCACCAAGGAGGGGTGAGTGGGTGGGAGCTGAGGCAGGGCTGGAGACACCTGGAGCCCTTGCTCACTATTTGCCTCCGTCTGCAGCATCATTTCGTGTTTTACCTTCCGAAGGAATCCAGGAAGGGTTGATTATACCAATAAAGGAGAATATTTGTAGCTCAGAGAAGATGAGAAGGATAATACTGCCTGGATTAATCTACCCTTGGGGGGCTTAGGTTGCATCTGAGCAGTGACCATCCGCAGAACCTTTGGCGCTTAAATTCCCTGACTTACTGCCTGGTCCTCACTTGAGAAGGCTTCCCAGATGTTAAGTCTGGAAGGAGCCAGTTCTGCAGAGCCAGGCTTAATGCAGGAATCCGGGCTTCCGCCCCCAACTCAAATTCCCTTCTTTTCTTGGCTTCATCTACCTACTCCTAGTTTCAGGGTCAGGGCAGACCTCCTATCCAGTGGTCCAATGTTGCTTTGGCTTTGTGCCCGTTCATATAATCACAGATGTTTTGCTAAAGTCAGAACGAGTTCCACCCTTCTCTTCTTCCCAGAATTTGGCTCCTTCAGGAGGAAAAGAAAAGGAGGCCAGACCTTCAGTTGAGGGCTCTTATGAAGAAGAAACATCCTGAGATTCTTTCTCAACCCAATTCTGGAGAAAACCAACCCAGGTTGGTCTCCCTCTTGTTGATGGGCATCTTGAAGGCATCTGACCAATCTTCCTGGAAGCTCTTGAGCCAGGCTGTTTCAGTTCTGCCCAGTCGGGGCATCTCTGCCCAGATGCTCCTTGTTTCGGACGTGGAGGGCGATTGTCTTTTGTCCCAGAGAGGTTGGCCTCAAAAGACCCCTTGGATCTCTGTCCAAGTGGAAATGCCAAGAGACGGGCACCC